GCCTGAAATCTCACCTTGTAGAAACAAAATAAAGATAATTTACTATTGTGAAAGTCTGCTTTTATTGCACAAGAAACAGCACACACAAACACACAGATGCTTGGCAGGAAAGGAGGAACCAGGGAAGGGCAAACTTTCACAGCTGTGAGTAGGTCCAGCTATCATTGTGAAAGTTGTCCGAGGGGGTGAAGTGAAGGGGAAACTAAGAAGTCCCGGAAGGCGGAAAGGAATGTGCAGGCGGAGTTGGGGGCGGGGGGGATGGAAAAGAGTTCTGAATGTGCTGCAGTGGAGGTCGAGCACTGATTTGCTCAGTCTGTGGCATTATTAAGGCTTTCAGCATCTGAGTTTCCTCCTCCATAATTTTTAGCATCCTTAACAAATGCATGGTTCCCTTTTCTGTCCTGCCATTTGGCTTCCCAGCACTCCTTTCATTCCCTTTTTTCTGCACTGGAGCACTGCAGGACCTCCTGGAACATGTCTTCTTTGCTGTGTCTTGGGCGTTTTCTTATCTGGTGGAGATGATCGTCTGGGATGTGTGGGGTGTTCCTGAAGGCCACATCTGGTGAAGCACAGAAGCGAGATTGTTAAATTCAGCATTGAAACATTTCCGTTAAATACATTTTTTGCAACATTGTCATCACTTTCTCACTGACCCTAGCCAAGCACACATCTCTGCGAACACCCAAAGCATGGTGAGTTTTGATGGGCGGGGAGGGAGGGAGGGAGCGCGCTCCACATGAGGAAAAGAGCACACACTCTTTGCAAGTGTCATGGGGCAGCATTCTAGGGAACAAATTCTAAAATTCTCCCACACTTTTTCACAGGTGGGGGTAATTCTAGCAGACATCTCACTGTTAAGGGTAATCAGGAAAACGAGAGTACATCTACTCCATGCTTGTGGCTTCCACCCTGCTCCCTATGCTGCTTGCCTATGTGCCGCTTTGGTCCCTGCACAAGTGATTGCAGAATGGCATTGGAAATTTTCCTACAATGGGGGAAGGAACAAAGCTGCTCTGCCACGGAACCTTCAGCAGAGGATTACTGAGTACTTCCAGGAAACTTTCCTGGAGATCTCTCTGAAGGATTCCCATGAGATCTTGGCGCGCATCAACACCCTGTTCCACCGCACTGATTAGCTACACAGGAAAACATCCAGCTCACAGAAACACAGCCAGCCTCCCACATTTCTATGCCCTAAACCCACCTCCGCGCTACACAAGCCACAACCACTTACCAGGAGTCTCATCTCCTGCTTCTTGCTCATCAGAGAGCGACTGTTGAGACTGGCTAGACATCTCGGGAGTGAAGAACAGTTCCTGGCTGCCTGCCCCACCGGGCGACCCCGCCGGGAGCTGCACATCCTCATCTAACTCCACCTCTTCCTCAATAACTTCGTCCTCTAGGTTTGGTCCTCTTTCTGCCGCCTCCGTGCCCTCCAAAGTATCCATGGGGCTCTTGGCAATGGAGATGGGGTTGCCACCAAGGATAGCATCCAGCTCCTTACAGAACCAGCAAGTCTTAGGTGAAGCACCTGAGGGATGGTTTGCCTCCCTCGCCTTATGGTATGCCTGCCTCAGCTCCTTTATTTTCGCTCTGCACTGCAGCGTGTCCCCATCATAGCTCTTCTCACACAAACTTAGAGAAATCTGCCCATAGATATCCCAATTCCTTCGGCTCAAGCGCAGCTGGGACTGCACAGCCTCCTCTCCCCATATACTGATCAGATCCAACAGCTCTGCAGTGGTCCAAGCATTTGCTGCGATAACCCACCATGGTCACCTCGAAAGATGCGATGAGACCTCTCCACACCGAGCAAACAGAAAATGGAATTTAAAAAATTCCTGGGGCTTCTAAGGGGTGGATGGTTATCTATCTGGCTGCAGGGCAGTGGAGTTCAAATTGCTGACCTGAGTGATCAAGAAGGGCATTGTGGGACATCTCCTGGAGGCCAATGAAAGTGATGAAATGAAGCGTGGTGTCTACACTTGCACTTCATCAACAAAAATGTGGAGAGAAAAGACGTAAGTCTCTCATGAGGGTGGATGTATTCTGTCGCCAAAATGGGGCATTCTCCCCGACAAAAGTCGCCTCGCAGTGTGTACACACTCACTGTTTGGGTCGACAAATGGCAGTTTTGGCGAAAAAACTTGGTAGTGTAGACAAGGCCTCACAGTTTTGGGCAGAAGTCAAGGCCCTACATGCCTATCCAATGAAAAAGCCCCCCATGTCCTGGCAGTATGAGGGTCAGTGACTTATGGCAGCAGAGCATATCTCCCCTAAAAAACTGCCTATAGCACCTCCTGGACTTGGCTTAATGCTTGCACTCTGCTCCCACACTAGCCCTTCTCTGAATTCCAAAGGTGGGAGGCATTACTATTAGTGCTGAATGAGGAGAGAAGCTGTGCAGCAGAAAGAATATATTCATGAGGTGCAAAATGCCTTACGTGAGTTATCAACAACTAAACTCTTGTCCTCCATTTTGTGAAAACCTTGCTATAATTAGAAGGAAAAAATAGCTGTAAATATCATATCGATATACTGTATATTACTGGACACTACAATATACAGATAAGTTGTAAATTCTAGGGGCCTGTTTCTCATTTACAGTAAGGCCCCTTTCCACCATGGCAGTGTAATGGGGCCCTAAAGTGGGTATTAGTGTAATTGAGAACAGGCTTTATATAGCTAGGCATTTTGATAGACAATATGAAATTTATAGCAATAGTCAATTAAGTTCTAATAAAGTCTTTAGATACTGAATGAATGTCTTAATTGTGGCATCGTTATTGCTTTGATAGGACAGGATGATTTAAATCTTTAAATATATACTATAGGCTAACATTGACTCTTCACCATAATTTCAGACAGCAAACTCCATGAAAGTACATCTTAAAATCACTTAATAGAATTAGAATTGTTCAGACCACACAGTAATGGAATCATAATCTTCAAACAAAATTATTTGTATATTGACAATGAAATCCAGAAACCCAAAGGAAGGCATTAAATGTAAATGACAGTTTACTTTTGCAGAGATATTTAGCTGAGAGTCCAATTTACAAAATAATGTACATTCAATGATTAGCCATTCATCTAGCTGTTACAAAAGTGAAATAATTTTTTTTAAAGTTCCCTTATTTTAGTGTATGAAACAAGTGAATTTATCAAAGCCTATTTTGAAAGAATAAATGTAGGAATTCCCCTTCAAGAGAGGTTTTCCACTGTAGAAATATACTGTATCTCCAAGCTGTATTACATTTCCATCCTGGATTTCACTGGGCATAAGGAAGAGAGGAAACAAAGAGAGAAAGGAGGAGTCCTACCTCACATCCACAGCCCACCCTCCTGCAGCAGCACCTCCTTGGGATGAGGAAATGCTGCTGCCCCGGTGGCTGAGTCTCCTTTCTGTGGGGAAGGGGAAAGATCCATGTACAGAGTTTCTCTTAAGGACACAACCAGTCCCTACATTCTTAGTGAAACGTATTAAGATTACTCACATTTCATTATGAAAAAGTTATAGATGTTTATTCAAGTTATCTTCTAAACCAGAAATGTCACTCAATGCTCATTAGGTACACTCCAAAGTCCACGGCCGGCGCTTCCACTAGGCGACCCTAGGCGGTCACCTAGGGCGGCAGGATGTGGGGAGTGGCATTTCGCCGCCCTTTGCGGAATTTCGGCAGCGAGGGGCTTCACTCGCTCTGGGACCCGCCACCGAAGTGCCCCGAAGACCTGGAGCGGAAGGACCCCCGCCGCCGAGAATGCAGCTTCAGAGGAGGAGCTGCCGCCGATTACTGTGGAGGAGCGCTGCCGCCTAGGGCAGCAAAAACCCTGGCGCCACTCCTGCCAAAGTCAGTGACTCAGTGGCAAAAAATATTAAATCCTCTAAGTAACATTCTTAGCCATTCTTTGCCACATTCAGCCATGCTGGTGAAATCAGCGAAGGGCCAAATCTAGCCAAGATAGTAAAACCTTTATTAGTCTGCATTGACAAAGATGACAAGGACTAGAGAGAGACTACATGGTTACATTCTCTGGCTTTCAGGTTTCCCAACCTGGCACCATAAGAGGTATCTTATTGTTAGGGAAATGCACCAGTTACATCGTATTCCTTTCTTTTCTTTTTGGCTTTCCTTCCCTTAAGGTAGGAAGCGGAAAGTTTATTCTTTCAAATGAATTAATCAAAGCTATTACCATCAGAAAGATAGAAATCATATATTAAAACCTATCTAATTTGTCTTTAAGTTCAAGTTCAGCACCAAAATGCAGAGAATAAGACCTTTAAGGAACAGAAATCTTTTATTTTACAACTGTTCTCTCCCCCCCAATAAACTGTTAAAGGCTCCTTTGTACGTTAATTCAAAACCATTCGTTCAGATTCTAGTTCTTCCTAATAAGAGCCTAAGTGCAGAAACTTTTAGCAGCATGAATAAAATGTATTTGTTTAAAGCTTGTATATAAATTCTTCATTTGGGAAGATATTTGCAAAAAAGGAAAACTAATCAGAAAAGCTAGTCTATTGCACTTACTTTAGAATGTCAATTGCAGCTTCATCAATATTTGAGACACGAAGGGTAAGTATTGGGTTCTGTTTAATGCTTTCTGGAAGGCTAAGATTGCAACTCAGAAAAGTCAGGTTAGCACCCTGTAGGTAATAACAAATGAACGATTTACAAGCAAGTTGTATATTCTATAATATATACTATACAAGAAATTCATGAAGAACTAGAATTTTTAAAATTTTAACAGAAAAAAGTGCTATTTTAGGATACAATTAGAATATGGCACACATTTCTAGTTCAGTATTGTAATTTAAAACACAAAACATGAGATTTTAAAAGTTAAGAGAATCAGTAAGTCAAATTCTATGCTAGCAGCTGTACTTATATGGAATGAACATGAATTCCCATCAGAATTTACATGTCTGCCACATACCTAATGAGATCTAACTCACAACTTTGTTCTCCTTGGTCATCAGGGCCCTCTTCCCTTTCACAGTTACTCACTTTTGTAACAATATATGTTTACAAACCCTTTCCCAGCTGCAGCTTTGTGCCCTCTGGTGGAAAAAGTAGAACATGCAGCCTGTTTTGAGACTACCACTGACATCTCTAGTATTTGGCTGGGTGCTTTTATATAGGACATGGTCCAGACTAGAGCTGGGAGTGAAAGGGTTTTCCCATCCTGTAAAAATCTAAAATTTCAATGCAATTACTGTTTCACAATATAAAAAACAAAAACCTTTCAAAATTTTTGCAAAAAAAAATGAGAGCATCCATCCCAGAATAGTAGCCCAATGGTTAGGGCACTCATCTGGGATATGTGAAACCCCGGTTCAAGTCCCTGCTCTGCCTGATTTGGAGCAGGGACCTAAACCTGAGTCTCCCACATCGCAGCTGAATGCCCTAACCATTGGGCTATTGGCTATTCTGCGGGTCGATCTCCCTCAACATTCCATCCTAACCTGAGAAATCAGTTTCAAATAAACTTTCACTGAAATTGACATGTTTCCACAAAAAGTTTTGGTTTTGACAAACTGTCATTTTCCAACGAAAAATGAGTTAGTTGAAAATTCCCGACCATCTCTAGTCCAGACTCTTTAAGACTTAGGGCCTCAACCAAAGAAGCTGAAGTTAATGGAAAGACTTCCATTGACTGCAGCATACTTTGGATCAGTCCCTTGAATGCTAGATTAGAGTCATTGCTTCAGCCCAGAATTCAAACAACCCAAGTGGCATTTCCAAATCATCAGCAAAGTTGATATATTTTCAATAGAAAAATACTTACAACATAAAAGTCACTAAGATCATATTGTTGTCCTTTTCTTGGTCCATGCTGATGACTATAAACTCCTTTCTGAATGAAAGGTAAGGCATTTGTTCTGTGAGATGATTTAAAATAAATTTAAATAATTAAACTTGAAAGTAAATTATTCTGGATATATTCTGGAGAACTTTTTCTTGAGAATTTTTAACAGTTATTTATCCTACCTATTTTTTCCAAACTGTCGATATTCATATACAGTAAGAGATCTGTCATACATAAAAAAGAATCCAATCAGCTCTCTGCAAGCATCACGCCCATTCCTACAACAGTAATTGAAAAGCAATATTAGAGTTTTGTAATCTATTTCAATGTAATCTATTTCAAACTGAAATGGGATGAGTATATCACTATTTTTGAAATATGCATCTTTAGTAGCAGTTCAATGGCAAATGCCCTACAATATTATTATAATCATTATTTTAAGAATATTACTGGTTTTGATTGCTTTAGTTTAATTTGAAATATTGTTCAATGTAGCTTATGGATCCAGCCATATATCTAAATTAAATTTTCGGCTATTTGTCTAAAATGCTTTCCATAATCCAAATTCAGAAAGAGTTTTCACAACTCAACCAACAGATTACATGTATTAGGACCAGCTATGTTCATCATGATCTCTGAAACTAATGGGCTGAATGCTCAGCTGCATCCAGAAAGCACTGGCTGCAGAAAAAGACATCAGAAAGGAGTCCTTTATGTAACCCTGATTCTTGGGTCAAATGAGACTCAGGGCTGTTCTAAACTATGTCAGCATATAACTGCCCCTTAAGAAAATTAAAATTACACATATGTCTGTAATGTAAATAGAGCCCAGCATTGGACTATTTTCAATCTCACTCCCACCTGCTCCTACTATTATGGAGCGGGTCCTGTGGGACCTGCGAGATCCCAGTCTCGCTGCAAGGCTCTACACTAGTTCCACACAGGGCTCTAATGTACATATTATAAGCACATACTTCTAAACAGATGTGGAATATACTGCAATTATTCCAATATGCAAAAGAAAATAATTCATTACTCACAGGTTTAAAAAGGAATTCTATGACATTTATGATTACCTTGATATAATTCTGCCATCAAAGCGTAACTTATTAGAAAGCACATTTTCAGTTAATGCTGATCTGGTCCTTATTCTGTTAAAAGAATTCATGACATTTATCAACAGATATATTCCAAAAATGTAAAATTTTGCATTAAATATCAATCATTTCTAGAACTACCAATAAACCTGCATTGTGGTAACCTAGTTATGAGTTGATCCAGGTTACTCTTTGCAGTTGAGTCATAAAGCAGATGAAAGAGCTGGAATGCAGGAAGAGCAAGTCTGGATATCTTTGGGGTTAATGTTATTGTCACGGGGTGCTCCACTCACTGCAGGTTTGGCGCCTCCTCCTGGTCACTCTGGTGATTAGCTCTGGAAGACAACGCCTCAGTCCACAGTTTGCATGCTGTCACCCTGACTCTGGTCTGCAGCTCCTCTCGCTCCAGGACCCACAGCATCTTCTTTGTGACTTAGCTCTCCAGCTAGATCACTCAGCATTCCCCATTCCGGGATACAGTCCATCAGCAGTCCTCTCATTCACTGCCTCAGTTCTGTGCCACACACTCGGCAGCTGCTAGGGGAACCCGGGTCTGCCCTCTTCTCCGGGTTTCAGTCCAGCTCAGCAGTTCTGGGCTTCTACTCTCTGGCCTCACTGCTCCTGGACTGCTTCCTACACTATGGTTCCCCTTCTTTCTCTGGGTGTACCAGCTCAAAAGCTTCCTCCTTCTTCCCAGAAAGTGACTTCTGCCTGTCTTCCTGAAGCCTTTCCCAGCAGCCCCCCAAGCATTCCTCCCTCTTCCCAGGGAGTGACTGCCCTTTCTCAGCAGCCGCCATCTGTAGCCCCCTACCTGGCTTTATAGGCCCTGCCTGTTCCTGCATAGGTGGGCCTGCTTGCAATCACTTAGTTCTCTGCACCCTGGCTCCTCCTCCAGGTACAGCCTGGGCAGTTAATTGGCCACCTTAACCCCGGTCAGACCTATGCGGGGTGGACATCCCATCACTGTTATTTAGTTGTGCTAAGAAGAGTTACAAATCTGTTGACTCTTTTTCTTCATTTTCCTTGGCTCTCTCAAAGAAAACCAATGCTGGAAAAGCATTACTCAGAAAAATAGTCCCTTAAGAACTTAACAAACCTTCTACTTTATCTCAACACTGAAGTGGCATTCAATACTGGAGCCTTTAAGTTTAAGATTTTTTTTCACATTCTACATGTGCTTTTGGTAAATCTTTACACTCAAAGAATCATCAGGAAAACATCATTCCCTGAGGCAGAAAAGGCACATTTATCTGTGACAGCCATAGTACCACTGCAGAAAGGCATGGCTTGAAGCCATTGGATTCAGCCATAGTAGTGGATAAAATACATGAAACGGCATGAGGAAGGCTTAAAACCAAAAACAACTAAAGAGACAAAAAAAACTGTCAAAGTGTAGCAATAACTAATATTAAATATCATACCTCCAAGACTGCATATATAAGCAAAAATCCCAACCTTTCCATGAAGTGGGGCTGATGGGGCTAGCAAAGGCCACCCTTGAGCTCCTGCTTACTTCCTACAGTGGTCAGAAGTAAATGAACAGTTGGAGCTGTGCACCTTTTGGAGCACGAGAACACATGTAAGATGTGTGTGAAACAGACAATACTAACTAGAAAGTTCCAACCTGGTTTATCCCAGACATACAAAACAGACATAATGAAGATCATACAGGCAGTACTCAAAGAACTCACTGATCTTGTTTTTGCATCTCTAAAACTGGATGGAACAAACTTTACTACACTTGGCAAAAGAAAGAAAAAAAAAAAAGAGAGAAAGAAAGCGAGAAAGACCAAACACGAAAAGTTTCAGCCTGAAAGGAATCGGTTTTGCTAAAGTTACGACTGGTTGAAATTACAGCTATAAGCCCATAGCTCAAAAAACTCCAAACCACCACCGCAAAAGAAAACTTACTTTGTTTCATGTAATGTTCTTTTTCTAAAGCGCAATGGTGCTGTCCCAAGACCTGCAAAGGTCCAATCTCTCTGGTAAGTACCAATATTTGTACTTTGCTCTGGGTCACTTATTACAGCCCTGACCAAAAAAATAAACAAAGCAACATTACTCTTTGGCAAAAGTTCTCAAACTGGGGAGCGTCCCTTCCCGTGTGTGTGCGCGGAATGTATTCTGGGGCACATAAGAAACTATGGGGGGGGGGAGGGGAGAGGAG